AATAATGCATAATTTCATTTGATAAACACGTTTAGATTGAATGGTAATTTATAATCAGTCACAAGAACGTCGAATCTGAATCACTTGAAAAAAACACGGGGGTGCTTAACTTTTTTCCAGGTGTATATATATATAAATATTACAAGTTCAATCTAACATTAATTTTTATATTTTTATACCAAAAATAGTTATCTTTTACAATCATAAAGGAATACTACTAATTCAGTTTAATGACGGAGTTTCTACTACAAGTAAAAGACCCATTTTTAATCTAACCATTTTAAAATATTACTTGTCTAAAATAGGAATTTACTTCTTTAAGGCAATGAAATGAGTAGTAGTTATGGAACTTAATAAACTTTACTGGTCTCTTTCTAACCTAAGGATGAATTCCATTCTCTTACCTGGTGACCAATATTTTGGTAGTATTCTTCAACAGATGTAGCCTGGATAGGTGAATGAGCAACCAGATTGACAATTGCTTCACACATCATCCAATCATAGTTGTTTATATTTTCTGTTAAGATGAAGCCTGGATCTGTGCTAGTAAGAAAATGCTTATGTGTAGGTTTGAATTACATTGGTCTTACTTAAAGTTTTAGTGTGGCACTGGAATACTTGTAAAGGTAATATTTTCCAACACTGAAAATGCATTTTCAATAGCTACTCACCTCCTAATCTCCTGTTGGAAAATGTTAACTCCTGATATGATATGAAACCTTTTCCCATCTAGCTAGATTTCCATACTGAAGTGGTGGAGGGACCGATGCAAAAGTTTACTTAGATGAGCCCCCTTCGGGAAGTGCCTGAGAAAACCCATGGAGTGCAAAACCCTGTATCTTGGAATAGTATAGGGACACACTCATGGGAGACCACACCTCTTCTGTGCTAGAGTGCACTCTTTGCCCGGAAAGGATGTTTTACAAAGACAGGTGGAAAATACAAGCACAGTCCAAAACCTGCACCAGCCTTTCGAAAGTGCTATATGTATAGTATGGCTAGGGTGCATCAGATCGTACACAGTGGATCAACTCTTGTCCAAAATCAGGCAGCATTGGGAATTCCACTTCCTTCCAGGCCACAGTAAGAGAAGGATCCCTACCATTTTCATCTCAAGCCCAGTGAGGTAAAATGGGAAAGTAACATATGCCCAGCAACAATCCAACACCAGTCCACCTAGGAATCCAACTTCCAAGTAGCAGTAGGAGGGGAGCAAGCCAGCCAGAAGTGTGAACAGTACTACAAGGAGAGAAAACCACCACCCTAATCTCTACTGAGTGGAATTAGTCACACTCAGGAGGCATCCTCCATAGTCCATCGCTCCAGTGGCTAGGAACTGGTGAGTGGCAAAGATTTCTATGCTCCTCTAGAAGAAAAAATGGGGATGAAAGTGCAGCAGGCAGTCCAGAGGAGCACATCACTATAAGACAGTGCAAAAGGTGACCACAAACACCCTATCTTTAAAAACAAGCGAGCACTCGGTTTTAAACTAGTAATGGAGAATAGGAAGAAATCCTTTCACCTGCTTTACTTATGCTAGGCATGAGTGAGTACGATCTGGATCAGGCCTTTTTGTGGAAAAGGAACACCTTAAGCCCTACACTCTGTGGATTTTGGTTAAGTATATCCTGGTAGGTATTACTTGCCACTGGGCAGATCCTGTAAGGAACTAGAGGGCTCTGTAAAAAAAGAGAATAAGAAAAAAATAAACTTACCCAGCCAGAGATGTTATGATGTGTGAAGAATAGTGACAGAAGGCAGTCTACAGCCCAATGAGGAAAAAATACCTAGATGATGGAACAAAAGTGTGAGGGGGGTCATTCACATGCCAACTCCAAATAATCTTCTCCAAGAGATGATGGAAGTGTGCAGCGAATGAGTGAGGACACTTGGAAGTGCTAATGTGCTTCTCCATCAAACGAAGAATACACTAAACAGATAAGCTGTTGAATTCATCCAGTGAGAAGAACATGAGAAAGATCATGGGCGGATGAAGGATTCCACAGAAACAAGAGATGGAAGAAGGATCCTCTGGAGGAGGGAAAGGAATTGGAACAGGAGATACAAGGGAGGAAATAAAAAATGAGAGGTAAATCCAATGGATAGAATATGTAGCCCCCAATAGTTGGCCCCAAAAGGAATCCATACTTCAACAAATTGAATCAAATGGTCCCTTACTGTTTCTGAGTTCAGAAGATAGTTACCAATGGGCCTGTCGGAGCTGAAACCTACAGATAGTGGAAGAACAGGTGGGAGAAGAGCAATGGGATGGAAGATCAGGGAGCTGAAAGGAGTTAGAGGATAGGAGACAGCCTCTGGATGAGAAGGAGCTTGTGAAAAATTTCAGTGCTCACCTCACCAAAAACCCAATGATGGAGAAAATGAGCCAATTAAAGGTCCTTGAGATAAGATGGAGATAAACATACTTGGGCAAGAAGGATGTCCCTCTCCAACAAATCCCAGCAACAGAGTAACCGAGTGAGAAGGGACAAAGCTGAGGAAAAAATAACATGCCAAAAACTCCTCAGGAGAATGGTGGATTGCTTCCAAAAGGAGATGGATAGAGGACAGATAACATAAAAGGTTAGTAAGGGTAAGGCAAAGGTTTGAAAACTGAGCTTGAAAAAGAACATAGGACCATGGATCAGAACCACAAGTCTGAAGAAGAGATTTCAGAATTTGGGAGTCAAACAAAAAAGGACTTCAGCTCAATTGTAAGCCAAGGCATTTGTGCAACCAGTCAAGAAGGATAAGGTATACCAGCAGCAGAGTGAAGTTGAGAGAAAAAAAAGTTTTCAACATGGACTTAAATATCAGGAAAAGAGGAAAAATATAATATTCTGAAGAAGGGAAAGTAAAGAATAATAAGAAAAAGGAGAGTGAAAGAAGGTAACATAACTGAGAAAAGCCATGGAAGGATGCACTGGAAGAATTGTTTGCAAGTTTAGGAGGTTGGAAAAGACAGCCTAAAATCCATGCTAACACAAACGAGGATTATAGGAGGTGAAAAATCCAAAGAAAGGCCACATGCAAAACTATGCCACTCACTGTACAATAGCCATCACATCCCCTGACAGACAGTGAAATACCTGATACCATTGTGATAGTCTATCTAGAGTAAGCAAAGTCCAGCTGCTCAACACTAGACAGCATGGGAATGACCCTTTCTGTGTAATTCATGCTGTGGAAAATAAGACCCACAAAATCTACAGAGGCAGAATTGGTTGAATATAAAAACAGAAAGTATTTCCACATGAGTTGGTTTTGTAGATACTTCAACTAAATGTTGATGTTGAGAAATCTCACACAAGCAAAAAAAAAGGACATGCCTTAACATACGAGTGTCAAATCAAGAAGTAATGATGAAACAATCAGTAATAGAGGGAGCCAGCTGTGCTAGGAGGCAGTGACTCACTTCTAATGGTGAAGAATTGTAGCATGCTTATTTGCATGCAACAATATCACTTGGAAACATGTGAGATTAGTTGGAAGCCTCAAGGCTAATGGTGAATGAAAAAGTTTGCAAATAGAAGGCAGCACTGAATCAGGGATACTAGATGTGAGTAGAAGTTACGTATCATAACAGAAATTCTGATTTTACAATATCTAGTTTGTCTCAAAATAAATCTATACAGCTATAGCATTTACAAGATATTTTTCTCTTGAGTTTGGTTTGTTTCAGAAATTTGCACAAATCTACACAAAGTCTACGTACACAACTTGTCCCTAACATTGAACTAAAAGACTAGAATGAAGGCAGCTAGTCAACAGCACATACCACCAATTGTTAGCCTATTCTATTCAAATAATGTGATTTAATTGTCACTCATATAACGCCTCTACAACCCCAAAATGCAGAGTCCACTATTTTTTTCTTTTTTTTGCAGCAGGGGGACACAATCAATGGACACTTGAACCCACAATCTGGCATGCTAACCACTAGGTCACAACAAGCCCTTACCATTGAGCTACCTATTTATTCTGTAAACCAAATTCTTCAATTAACATAACCTTAAAGCTTTCTACTTAAACTGTAACATGTGTTAACAACATATGTTAGCAAAACAGTGTTATGCAGAAATTAGAACTAGCTCAGAATCTGATGAGATGTTGATTTTTTATGTAATGTTTTGGAAATAACATGTTTATTTGAGTAAAAATCCACAGTAAACTTTGATGCTGCAAAACTAATTTTACATCTTACACAGTAATACAGGACAAAGTTTGGGAATGGCTTGAAATTATAATAAAGAAAACATTATTAAAAGTTTACCCATTCAAGCCATCTTTAAACTTTATTGTTCGAAAATCAGTTCCTTGTCATTAAAAGAGTAATACATGGCTTTCACAATGCTCAACTTTGGTATATGTGTGTATCCTGAGGAAAGCCATAGAATAAATAGATCACACAGCATAAGGGGTCTTAAATTAATCAAATAAACTTTTAGAAGCTATGAAAAATACAATACATCACCTTCCACATTCCCTTGTGAATCTGGTGTACTAAGGATAGGGTTATGGAACAAATAGCAAAGAAAATCAAGTTTACACACTTAAGAATATTGAAAATAATATATTTTAGCTCTGTACAAAAGCTGATAAAAGATTTATTGGAACATGAAGCAATAAACATATCAGAGCTTGTGAATATGGCTATTAAAAATATCACTAAGAATGCTTCATTGTTTGTAAAATCCTTAAAATTCTTAATTGAATCAGGTACAAATTATTGTTATCACACATAACCCTCTTTATCAGTTACTATAAAATTTTTAACCTTCTGATATTTCATGTCTAGTAATGGTGTTAGCCTTTTAAGTAGTTCCACAGTTATGCTGACAAGATGCATTAGATCAATTAGTATATACACGTATAATAAATAACTTCAATAGTATTAAGTACAATAACCATTAATAGACAATTAAAATCAACATTATAAAACAATAATGAACTTAAAAAAAAATTAAAAAGATTTTGATAGTTTCCATTGTCAGTTCTAGTTGTCACCTTAAAAAGGTATTTTCCCTTCTTTTATTACAAATAGTCAGCTTTGCTTTGCCTTCCACAAAATTAATGTCCTAGACTAAATATATAGTTAGCATGAACATCATAACTATTTCTTTTTTCTGTTACAAGTTCTTTCAGATATATTAAGTTTGTGTAAAATTCAAGTTATTTATGGAGATTAAATCATCTATGTAACGAAAAGTATAAGTGTATACATTAGGATTTAAAATCTGTTTCAGAAATGAGTTTTCTTAAAAAAACAAATACAAGTTGACCATATTTTTGAAGAGAAATTTGCTCCCACTGGACTACCCGCTGTTTGTTTATATACTTGTTTGTTGAAAGTAATATAACTATTATAAACACAGAAATGGAGTATATTTTTCAATAAATTTTATTAAATCTAAATTTTGGAATGCTTATTTCAAAATTATCTGAAATGTAGTTTGTGTTCTATTTAAGATCATTTAGTTTTATTTTCTTTTATTTCTATTATAAGGGTGGAGGTTGGGAGTTTCATATAGTTTAAAT